CTACCTAAGTATAACCCGTGCCAAACTTGTGACTGCACCTCTGCCTGAGCACAAGGATACTTTGGATGATCTCAGCTGTCGATGTGCGTCGATAAAAATTGTGTTTCAGGAGAATTTGTTGAACTGCTGATGTTTCCAGAATTCTAGCGATGTCCATACTACATTTTTTGGCACGAAATATTCTTTCCAGCTTCATCCTCTCTTCCTTATTCTCACAAAATGGTATGCTCTGCAATAATATTCTTAGTTAAACTATTCATATAGTTAAATAGGTCGAAATATTTATTTGCTAATGATGTAGATGACAAACTTGCCAAGCAATTCATATAATTTTCAGTCCTTTCCATTTCAACATAATTTTCAATCTTTTCAATTTTTTCCAATACAAATTCAGTAATTTTCAATAATTGCCAAATAATATGATTTCAATTACTACTTACTTGTATAATGAAGCATTAATACCAGTTATTATGCACATATGATGAAAAAAATACTAAAAATTAGCCTCAGCACAGTGATAGTGAAATTTGCTGAGAATTTGTCATGGCTTTGACTCAAACTTGTGAATTTCTTGAGAGAATACATCTTAAACATCCCAAAATGAATTCCAGTTTTTTCGAATTCCAGCATCAGCAGCAGTGGCACAGAATGGTATCTGTGATACGAGTCGAGATATTTTTTTGCGTATTGAACCAAGTGGAAATCCTCAGGTTTATTTGCACTGCATATCCGTCGGTTTTGGGTAAGTGCATTTTTCCTGCTCAAATTACTAAATTGTGGTTGTTTTTGCAGTTTCACATTGAAATTCTCCGAGATTATATAACTTCTAGCGACTGATAATTGGCGGCCCTGTAGCGACTATTGAGAACCTACCACATTCGGTCTTTCCAACAGACGCCGTCGGACCTGGCCGCCTTCATCAAAAAAGATTTTTTGCACCGAACCGAGTTGAATTTTCGTAATTGCCCAATTTTTGAATATATTGTATTTGCATATTTTTTTGAAAGCAAAAATTTATGCGGTAAAATTTTTCAGAACGTTGGGTGTTTGGCAATTGGAATCTTGTCCAGCTGGTCAAATATTTTTCTACAGTGAACAACGGTGTATCAGTGTGGAGCAACGAATTGCCCAGGAAATGCACGAATTACCCGTGAACAGCTTTATTTGTAAGTTTCAAACGATTTTTCAAA